AAAGGAGCCTGGGTCCCTGGAGGAGAGTACCTGCTACTCTGGGACACTGGTATTGTAAGCAAGGCATATACTTCTCGAGTTTGAGTTTATGTTTATTTTGTTACAGCAACTAAAATTAACTAAATTGATATACTTGGGTCTGCCAAAGTTATTTTTCAAGGCCTCAACTTCCTCTTTTATAAAATGAAGGTATTTGCTATACTGGCCTCCTTACTCTTCCGCAGACACACAGAATATTTGGGACTTCAGCACTTGCTGTTTCCTCTGCCTGAAAATTCTTCTCAGAAACTCACACTGCTTGCACTCTCAATCTTCAGTTCAGCCTAAATGTGACCTTATCAGTGAGGACCTCCCTGGCTACGCTAAGTATAATAACATTTCCCCTTCTCCATCACTCTTTTCTCCTCTTATCTTGCTCTAGTTTTCCTTATAATACAATCACCAAACAACTTATATATTTATTTATTTATTTATTTGGTACTCAGTAAAATATTTGTTGAAGAAATGTGTGAATGAAGTGCTCTTCAAGGTGCTAAGTAGCTATAAGAGATTATTTTTCTAAATTCAAGAATTTATAATCTTAGGGGAAAAATAAAACAGATTTAAAAATCAATTTTAAATACACAAAAGGCATATACACTTTGTCGACATTTCATTGCCAAATATATAAGGAAAGATGGAGATTCTAATAATTATTAGGTACTTATTAAGTATTATATACTAAAATTTTCAAAACATTATTTCATTTGATGACTAATGCAAAATTAGCATTATTTAACCATTTTATAGATGAGGAAACAGGTTAAGAGGGCTGGAATGGGAGCTTCGTAAGAGTAGGATCACATCTGTCATATTCTCTGGCATCTAGCAAAGCTTCCAACAGTTGGCAAGAAATAATTTTTTTAATAGAAAATGGGTTAAATAACTTGTCCATGGTGGGTCAGTTGAGATTAGAACACATATTTGCCTGAATACAAAGTCCATGTTTTTTTGTTTGTTTTTTTTTTTTTTAACACTCCTAGGATGGCAAATATGTTTCACTCTGATCTAATTCCTGACTGGGCTGTAGCTTTTTCTGTTTCCTCTCATGAAAGGCTGTTCCCTTAGTAACCACTTGTCTGAGTTGTTTCCATTTTGTCAGGCCTCAGCCCAGCAATCACCTCAGTGGAGAGGCTTTTCAGGCCCCACCCAGGCCTATTATACCAGAACTTGCATTGTAACAAGATCCCCAGTTGATTCCTGTGCATATCAAAGTATGAGAAACATGACTCTAGGAATATAGATAATATCAATGAGTTAGCCTTGGCAAATAAGAAGAACCCTCTTCACCATCTCTGTGTGCTTCTCTGTTATACTCATCTAGATTCAGAGCCCTAACTTTGGCATTATTATATATTATCTAGAGTGATTAGGACTGAGTGGAGTTAATTGGAAGTATTTTGAAAAGATGATCTTCAAGTGTTTAAAAACAAAAAAAGTATTTGGTTTGCTAAAAAGCAGGGAGAGATGAATTCTGGGTCAAAGGAAATTGAACAAGTGCATTTGGGCATATACATGGCAGTAGATGAATATTTTGTGCAGAGTTGGAAGGATACTTGGTCCAGAGCAGTACTTAACCTTTAACGAATGGATATAGAATGAAAGGAAGTTAAAGTAGTGGCAGAAGAAACAGATGAAAGTAGCATTAAAGGGGCACAAGGACAGAAAAAGGCTACATAGGGTGTAGGTGAAGAACGATCTTAAAATTTAAAAGCAGGAGGGGGAAAAATGCTGGGGGAATTAAATTTGGTAAGAAGAAAATTATGAGTGTTCCTAGAGAAAATAATTATACTAGGTAGTAAGGACACAGACTACAATGTGACAAGTTGCAAAATCAAAGGCTAACAAAAAAAGGCTGATGAAAAAATGAACCTTGCATATAGATCATTTATTCATGAACTTTACCATTAAAGGAATCACAGAAAGAAGACAGTTTAGATAGAAGGGCCATGGGTTCAAGAATTACCTTCTGAGATCTGGGTACCCAGGGTCCCTGTGCTGAGCCCTGCATCTTAGAGGCCTTGGCTTGTGTCCTTCTCTAGCCATGCCCTTTCCTATTAGCTCAAGGGTTAAGGAACCCAGGAACCTGCTCACCTGGAGTCTCTGGCCCCCATTTTAGAGCATGGTCTCATAAACTAGACTTCAGAAGTCCCTACCTAAATGACCCCAAAGTCATTTCCAGGACCCTTGAAGACATCTTTCTCTGGTCTAAAATCTTGAGGGCAGGTCTGCATAATTAGTGTGTACATATCTAAGCTCAAGGGGTGTGCAGTGGGGGTGTTCATGGCCATGGGTTGAGAGTGATCTGAACAGAGCTTGCACTTGTCTGGGTTTCCCCATTACATGCCTGTGAGGCCCCACATATTGCTTGATGGAGGTGGAGATGTGAAGAGAAAGGGGCTAGGCCAAGGAGGGGCGGGGGGTAGGTTCCAACTGCATTACTACCCCAGGCTGGTATTGGATTCGAGTGAGGTGGTCACTCAGTTCTATACTCCATGAATCCTTTTTTCCCTTTAGGAGAAAAGATGTCTTCATAATTTAGGAATTTAATTAATTTTGCTTGAATCATCAATTAAGGAAGTTGAATGATACACAGCTGAATGCAGTTATATTTACTGATTCTTCAGACATTCAGAAGGCATCAATATGCTATCTTAAATAAATATTTGTACTCAGTGCAGATGTGGGACTAATCAGAGTGCGATAGGGGGAAATATATAGATTAGACTCAGCCCCTATTTGTAATGTACTTCCACTTTTAGAAAAGATCTTTTATCATGAGAGCCATTCCTACTATACTAAAATTAACTACCATGTGATTGTAGCATTTACTGTAACATCATGCTTGTGTCTGGCATCTGTGTTTGTCTCCCTGTTAATTCCTCAACCTTTCCATTTATTTTTCGTGTTCACAAAGGTTAATTGACATCGACTACTGTCTATATCAGGAATTCCTTGGTGAGTCTTAGTGGTGGCCACTTTGTAAGGTTTCAGTTCAGTTGAGCAAGAATTTTGATAGTCAATCTACAAGGCTCTCTGGAAGCCTAGCACTTAATTGAAGTGCATTACCCCTGACTGGGCTGGATTTTTAGGCATGAGGGGTGGGAGTTTGATTTTCTTGTCTCTCTCTTTCTTATGGCTTAATCCTCCATACACTGACTCCCTCTTAGGGTTTTTATAGGCACTTTCTCCCTTTGCTAAGACATTATGTGGATAGAACAGTAGTGATTTACTAGTGATACTCTGACACCTTGGGCTGAAGTAGGGCAGTAATATCACAATACATTTGTATGCTATGTTTGGATTGATATACAAATTGGTATACATGTTGTTGTTTTCCATACATCACCACTATAAAGTGGTCCGGGCAGACATAATCCCTACCACACTGATGGGTGATCTGAGCCTAAGGTCACAGTGTTAGGTGATAGAGCAGCAACTGAGACCCTGGATCTTCTGACACCTGGTCCAGTGCTTGTTCCCTATACCACATGACACATGGGTCCATTTCCTTTGAAGTGAGGATCAATTGGGCTTATTGTGGAAGCACTTCATGCTCTGTACACTTTGAGAAACAGTGCATGGATGTCAATTCTTAATTGGAGTTGACAATTGACTCCTAGTCACTTGCTTTCCATACTTTGGATTTCTGTGGGTGGTGCTTGCACACTGTTCTCATTTTCTTCCATTGACTAGCCTTTCAGGGCTTGAAAGATTCTCACTTGCTGTTGTCACTTAAAGAATACAATATATTTGTTTTATAGCAAAATATATAACAATAAATATAGAATTGTGTGTGTGTGTATTATAGTCTCTTGTGATTTTATATCTACTATCACCAGATGGAATCAATGTAAAAAACTTGGTTGGGGTAATTTAGCCTAAACATTGTTGCTTTACCAGAGGGGGGCATCATATCAATTTTCCCTCAGGTAAATTAGTTTTTAGGGTTGAGATGTCTGTCTAGCATGGCAATGTCTATTTTCCTTCAAAAAAATCACTTCCTTATCCTTCGTCATTTAGATCCAGAGAAATAACACCCATAATGTCAGGGAAAAGGGGTTAATATCACCACCCCAGCTTCCTGTTCCAGGTCCACAGGCCCAGTAATGGCACCCAGCCAGCAACTTGTCTGACGCTTCCCACAGACCCATGGCTGTCTGCGTCTCAGTTGTCTGTGCAGGGCGCCATCTGTGGTTGCTGGCCCCATGGCAGTGCCATGCCTCTGGGATGGGTAGACACCAGAGGCTTCCAAACTTCCAGCCCTTCTGCCTGAGATGGTCTTCCAGCTCCTAACAAGTCTTCCACTAATGCTTCAATTTTGTAGTATCTGTGGACCCAAAATGGACATGGGTGCACTGTTGCCTGCACTGGTATGCGTATAGGCTTTCAGGTTCATGGAGGAAGCTGGGTGGTTTTGAAGCTCATTTTCTTTAGCTTCTGACTAGCTTGATGTGTGGGAATTATCAGGGATTTTCCAAGCAGTAGCATGAATTTACAAAAATAGAACTCATAGGTAAAATAATTTTGCCAGACTCTCATCTATGATACTGGGGCTTTGTTTTATTTTAAATTCCTTTACCTATGAGTATGAGTGGCATGGAATTGCAGTATCCCACATGGTCTCACTCTGCATTAGGGATATGGTAGACTTCTGCCAACCAGCACTTGCAGAAGTTGAATTCTTACCTAGTGCTGTTTGCATGGAGTCTTGTAGCCAAAGCCTTTTAAATCAAAGGAAATCAGGGAGAACAAAAGGTAATCTTCTGCCTTTAAGAGACAGGCCCTTATATTGTTCCATTAACTGTGTTTGCCTTAAATATCTGAATGGTTTAAGTAACTAGAGTGCATTTGTCTCCCTGACTCTGTGCGCATTAGGCAGGATGAGCATTAAACACACACGTGTGTGCATACATGCACATGTGTACACACATAAACCCTGTGGTCAGATTCTTATGATGGTACAGTCCATGTCGCTATTTATTACTCATCAAAATATATGAGATCTCTGTTACGAAATGTTCTGTCTCCAAAAACATATTTCTTCTCTTTTAGAAAAATATCTTTGGCTGGATCCCTGGTACTTTAATTAAAATCCTGGTTGCTCTTTAAAAAAATGTTATTGCATTTCAGACAGCTTGGATATAAAACAGTAAGTCCAAGAACCAGAACTTTTTTTTAAATTATGTTATGTTAATCACCATACATTACATCATTAGCTTTTGATGAAATAACATCAACTTTTTTCAAAGAAATGGAACAAATAATCCTAAAATTTGTATGGAACCAGAAAAGACCCTGAATAGCCAGAGGATGTTGAAAAAGAAAAGCAAAGCTGGTGGCATCACAATTCTGGACTTCAAGCTCTATTACAAAGCTGTAATCATTAAGACAGTATGGTATTGGCACAAAATACATGAAAGGAACAGAATAGAGCCCAGAAACGGACCCTCAAATCTATGGTCAACTAATCTTCGACAATGCTCAAAAAAACTTATGGAATGGGTATGGAGGCACATGGCATACTAGGTAGGAGGAATATGAAAATGACTAAAACATAGTCCCTGTCTTTACAGGGTAATGGTGTATTGAAGACAATTGGATACTTTTGATTATTAAAACATGAGTTACTATCTCTTAGGTAACTTATGATGCCTCAGGAACTTTACATATTTTAACTTTCAGAATAACTTGATAAGGAGGGTATTTTTTCTTTTATAGAGGAGGAAGCAGGTTGAGGGAATTTAAATGGCTTACTCAAAGACACAGAGCCCCTAGGTAGAGAATCCTGTCTTCAAATTCAGGTCTGTGTGTCTTTAATATCTCTGCAATGCTACCATCTTTGGAAATTTGTGCTTTTCCTTCTCTTAGTGCTTCAAGGTCAGGCTTTTCTGATTTTCTTAACTGAGAACTAGAGGAGATAGAAAACATTTATTTTTTTTAATAGAATTGCTGCATGAAGAGGTTTATATTTTAGTTGGTCACATGAGTTTTGTCTTAAAAATATCTGCTAAGGTTGGTTTCTTTTTGAGTGAATGAAGGTGGTGCTGAACACAGGACACAGCACAGAGGGAAGGAGGCTGAATGAGTCCTCTCTGAGCTATTTTTATTGTCACATTGGGTGGGCTTGTGGGACATAGAGTGAGCTGTGATGAAAGTCAAAGGGGGCAGGCAGACTGGCCTCTGAGGATGTCATGGCTATGTTCTCCTTATACCTCTGAGGAGTAGCATGGGATACTTCTCCACCGCCACAGATTAGAAGTAGAGCCTGGAGGAGCTGTTCTCATAAGCCCCCAAACCCACCTTCTTAGGCCCTCACACTTAGTTGAATGGGATTGGCCATAGGGGAAGGGGGTCAGGTGGTAGCCTGGTTTCTGGCTCTGTGACCATTCTGCTTGAAGGTTCCAGAATCTGTCATTCACCAGGGGGTCCTCCAGGCTGGAGCTGAGGCAGTTGCTGAAGCAAAGGGTGGAGTTGGCAGATAATATGCTTGTTTTCACGCTCTGAATTCCTCTGTCGTCCCCCTCCAATGGGAAAATGGAGAAGGAGAAGCCTATGGTGCTGGGGCCCTAGATTCTCAGGCTGAAGGTTCACCCTCATGAGATTTGATTTGCTGACTAGGTACATTAAGCAGTAAGATAGCAGAAGTCGGGAATTCTAAGTTTTAACCTCAGGTGTGCTCTTGTGTAAGTGTCAACGTGGCATAGAACTGTCTTTCTCAAAGAAGGTGCTCATACATTTTGGCAAAGAAATTATAGACTCAAAGCCAGTCCTAACCTCTCATTTTATAGATAAGGAAACAGGCCCAGAAAAGTTATATGAATGAACCAAAAGATTTGGACTCCCCCCGCCCCCCCGCCTGCCCCCATCAGCTTTGGCTTCCAAATCCATTTAGAACCTTGCAGACTCAGGCTCTGGGTCACATTAATTAAATATGGGCCTTCCCCATGGTAGAGAGATGAGCAAAGACACAGAAGTACAGGTCAGCTTGAGTAGTTGTGTAGTTTGAGTCTATATGCAGCAGTGGATGGGATACCCTTCCTCTCAGTTACTGGAGGGCTGATAATAATCATCTTAAATTGCTGTTAGTACTATGGAGTAGAGGAGGGGATTTAAATCAGAATCATCTGGGGAGATTTTCAGGACATGTGTACAAACTCTGCTTGCCTCATCCCACCAAAAATGAATCCAAAATAGAGGAGACAGAAGTGAGCATGGGTATTTGTAAGTAATTCCGATTTGCCTATCCCTTACTGGGACCTATTGTGGTACCATCTGACAATGGTAAGCTCCTTGAGGGATGATCTTGTCTTAAGTGTCTCTGTGTTCTCCACCAAGTGGAGTGTCTAATTCACTAGATATTTGCTGAGTAAATGGATGAAGCAGATGGCAGTGGAGAGATAAGAAAAAATATCCTAGACAAAAAAGACTGGGCATTGGAATGTGAGGAAGCCCAGAGGCTGCTCAGTCAATACATGTTTATTGAGCGTGATTAAAGGTGAGCCCAGCCATCTTCAGCCGTCTTGCCATCGACCTTCTATCAATAAACATAAACACTGTTTTGCCCTTGACCTCAACAGCTAAAATAATAAATACCTTAATTGGTCATTATTAATTCCACTTTGAATTTATTATAGATAAATGTGGCCTTGAAAAGAGAGTCACTCCTACATTCAGCCCATGCGTTTTATCCTCGAGCCTCCCAAAGGTGCATGTGTAGTAAAACAAATAAAATTGGCCTCCCACCTCCGCCCTCCCATCAATAGATAGCACATTTGCTATTGAGTCCAGGCAAATAGCCATTTGCAAGGTTGGATGAGTAGTTAAGCCACACAGGCACAATGTAATATGACAACATTCTTCATGGTAATATTGTCCTTCTCCTCATTACATTTGAATATAGATTGCTAGTGTGTGATATTTCCAACCTCACTCTCTATTCGTGAGCTGTGGAATTTTTCAGACAAGGTGAAGTCCGCATGTGCTCCCCAGACATTATTGACTTATTTGTAAGCCTAAACAAAATCACAGCTATTGTCTCTAAGAAGTTAATTTGCCAAAGCTCTTTTCTTCCTACCCTTAATTATGTATATATTTATAGACTTGAGCCACCTGCCTGCTCAATGCTCGTGTATAACCGTATCTCTTATGTACCACTTAATGGTTCAGGGCTCTTCCTTTATACCCTCTTTGCTTCAAACTCAACATTTAAATATCTGTACTCACCTTACCTTCTCAGTATTAAAACATTTTTTTCTTTACTTCCTTGAAAAGCTGCAAACAAGCCTTTTTTTTTTTTTTTTTTTTTTTTTTTTTTTTTTTTAGATTTTATTTATTTGAGAGCGAGAATGAGAGACAGCATGAGAGGGAGGAGGGTCAGAGGGAGAAGCAGACTCCCTGCCGAGCAGGGAGCCCGATGCGGGACTCGATCCCGGGACTCCAGGATCACGACCTGAGCCGGAGGCAGTCGCTTAACCAACTGAGCCACCCAGGCGCCCCAAACAAGCCTTTTAACATTTTATCTGGACCAAACAGTAGTGGTTTTACACAAGAAACGAGAACTCTGTAAGTAAATCTGTGTATTTATATGACTAAAGTGCATTATAAAAAGCAGTAAATCCAGTTTTCTACATAAAAGGAATTAGATTTTCCAGTTTACCTTTGCACTGGGATTAATAAAATGTGCAACAAATAGCTGATGGAATGATCCATTTGAAGTTTGTAAAGGCATCTTGGGAAGCTGGCTGGAGTAGCCTTTTTATTTTTTCAAAAAAGGATGCCTGCTAATTTTTTGATTCAGTCTTGTTCTTGAATGACTGTTTTAAAATGAGCTGAGAGACTGTTACCTGCCCATTTCTGCATGGCTGAGCAAATTCACCCGTAAATCCAAGTTTCTCTTCATTTCCATCACTATACGTCTCCAAATTACAGAGCATTCGTTCCTGAGCTGGAGAGGTGCCAGAAGTTTCTCATCTAGCTGTCTGTGGGCTGCCTTTTTCTTTCCCCTCTTTGAGGCTTTCTGATGCTTAGAGTGAGCTCAACTCAAAGGTTTCCAGCCTCACACTCGCCTTACATTCCCCCACAGTCACACCAAGCTCTGTGATTCTGAGGAAAACCGTGTGCCAGCATCCGATTCACAGTCTCCTTTTACCTGCAGGTGTTCCAGAAACTTCAAAATGCGTCTGGTAATGTATTTGCTTCTCTAAACATGCCACTTTGGCATGCATTATATGCAGCTGCTTATTATTTTTTTAAAAAATCTGTCTTTTGAATAACATGCATGCTAAGAAATGTCAAAGGGGGCTTGTAGAACTGTGTAAGCTTAATTAGTGGTCTAGGTGTTCATGTGTGTGTCCTTGTTAATGTAGGCATGTTTGCATAAATATGTATGATTTATGTACACATATGTCTGCACAGGCAGATTTCACTAAAGGAATCTTAATGGAAGCACTACTTTTTATGTACATGCAGGTTTTCTAATCAGATCTGTAAACATCTTACACAGCAGCAAGTAGAGGAAAAATACATTTTTCATCCCCTTGCAAATGGCATGTTTTTGGTACCTATTTGAAAAACCCTCCTTTCTTTCTTAAAAAAAAGGGGGGGTGATTGTGTGTGTGTATTTTGGGTGTGGGGGTGTTGGTTTTTGAGAATTTGGAGAGAAGAGTTATCTTCCTGCTGCATGAGAATGTCTACCTCATGTTACCTGCCTTCTTAAAACTCACTAATCACTGAGGAGAAGAGATGTGGTTCCGCTTAGAAGTAACCCCAGGGGACATTGAGCCGCAGTGTTCAGCAGGCATTTTAGGTATTCTAAATACTACTGCTTGAATAATAAGTAGATGGGGTAGATTTGCTATCGCCGAGTCCTGCTATGTTTCCTGGCTTGTAGAAATCACAATCACACGTACATTTAGGGTGTGCATGTGTTTTTTGAACTCTAGTAAAGCAGCATGAGAGTCTGGGCTCATATATCACATTATTTATTTGCCAGTGTTGGGTAGTAGATTCTAAAATTAAGAAATTACTTAGCAATTAATAATACATTCAGCATCCCTTATCTCATTGGGTGAGATTTACATCCTTGGGACTTGCTCTTCTAGTTATAGAGACGAATGATTTAAGGTTCAGACTTAATTGCTATTTCAAATCTTTAAGCTAGAAAGGTGCTTGGAATACTTTATTTAAACATCTTATTTTGAAAAATGTGTATGTATATTTCTAACTGTGGTGGTGAGCCAGTTACGACTATAATGTGCTATATGTTTAAGAAATACAACTTGATTATTATTCACTTGAATAATAGACATTTTCTTTCTTGTCTTCATATTATAATAATTCTTTCACTTTGTATGATGTTCATGCTTTTGAGAGATCAATAATTATTGTTGTAAAGATGAGACTAATGTAGCAACTCAGAATTCAAAGAAAAGTAGGTTGAAATAGCAGTTTTCTGAGAAATTAAATAATAATAGATTTTCCCAAGTAGGTTTTCTAAATGTACAGTGGGTTTGATATTTGAAAATGGAAACATCTTAAATGTAAACTTGTTAAGTGGAACAGACTGGGATAATATTAATGCCTTCTTGTTACTGTTCCTCACTACATTTAAAATGAGGTAGTACATTGGCTATTAATTGCCTTTGCTTCATGATAATTGATTATAAAACCAATGATTGTTTTTTTATTGGCTTTGAATTGGATCACTGTAAACTTTGGTAAAATAGTTTACTGAATTGTAACAATAAAAACACATGGTCTTAAAAATCAGTGTGAAAACTACTTTTTTTAGCATTCAAGATCTAATATTTTATCACTTATAGAGCTGTGTACTTACAGAAGATTGTGTATATTTCAAGAAAATTATCTAACTTTTAATGCTGATTTTGTCAACCATGTCTAATTCACAATTACTCAAACTAACACAGTAAAAATGCATTTCAATATGTATCAATGGTTCCTTGAAAGGGCATATTATATTAGGAGCCATTAAAAACCCATGTAAGCTATTAATGTTATACTCATGTATTGCTCTGTGTGTAAAGGATTTTTATTTTAGGTACCATTCATTTCCAGTATTTAAATACACCTACGATTGTGACCTATTTGATATAGGAACCTTGTCTTGATGAGGGTTTCAAATTGAATGTATAGGATGGTTGGAGATTTAGTAGCACTTTTTAAATATGTATTGCAATATGCATTAATGCATACATACAAATATTGGGCTATGTAAAAACATTCCTAGCTTTCAGCCAACCTTTGAAGTTGGTTATTTTGTTTGAAATCAGTTTCATAGGCATAAAAAGAGGTTTTATTTTTCTGAACCTGTATGGCACTGTGTAGTAGTAGGAAAACATCCAGTGCCATTTTGTAGGGAATATCGCAGGAACTATTTAGTGAGAGGAAAAATGCCTTGTTTCTGTTTCTAATTATGATTTCCTACTGCCTTTTAGATGTATGGTAGACCAGGTCTTTATTGTATAAAAGCAGATTTGTATTATCTACAATACCTGAAATGATTGTAAAATACTTCCTTCATACATTAGTTTTCCTGTTATATGACTGAGATTGCTTTATGAAACATTTCATTTTTTAAGGCTGACATATAGAAAGAGGATATAGAAATATAATTTGTAGACTGACCAATCACCAACAACTGAAAACATCCTTAAAGTAAGCATTTATTGAGCATAGCTTTGCCAAGCCATCTTCTATCCTTGGGCAAAAGAGTGGGTGGAGGAGGAGGGTTCTTACCTAAAGAGACAGGAGATGCTTTTCCTGCTATTTCATCATTAACAGTTATTTATGGAGGCACACACACCTTCAACATAGCCTGAGAATTATACATATATATATATATATATATATATATATATATATATATATATATATATGTGGTGTGTTTGTGTGTATATATAGTTTGTTCTTAGTTTCAAAATGATACCATTCTAAGGTTTGCCCATAGAGAGGAATGATCACAGTTGGGGTGGGTAGAGCAGGCAGGCTGGTGAAGGAAACTTTGGGGAAGGTGAGTTCTCAACCAAGTTTTGGAGGAGATTATTAGCAGGAACTGATGGAAAGGGCAGGAATAGGCATTTGGGTGAATGGGAAAGAAAGATGTTAACAGGAGACAACAAGGTAATAACATTGCATGGAGAAGAGGCACCATATTGGCAGTGATAAGAAGTGAAATTGAAAAAAAATCACAGGGTTGAGTTTGAAATATTTGAAGATAGAATAATTTGAAGATTAATCTTCATTAGCTCTATCATATCCTGTGGAAAATTTTGTGAAAGTAAACATTTCTTCTATTTTATCATAATCGATAACCTCTGTAAACAGCATTTCAAAGTCTATTCAGTAACATAACTTAACATTTCATGAGCATTTACTATGGGCCAGGCATGGTGCTAAATACTTTCAATGCATTATCTTGTATAGTCCTCACTTACTATTAAAATCCTTATACTACAAATGAAGAAACTGAGGTACTGAAAAGTCCTATAACTTGTCTAAGGTTGTATAAAGTCAGAAGTGGCTGAGCTGGGATTTGAACCCAGATTCTGGAGCCCAGACTTTGAACCTTTCTGATTCCCATATACCAGCCTCCTGTCACCCAATTCAAACTTTTAAGTCCCCTCTGAGTCCCCTCTTCCTCATCCCCCTCCCTTTAATCAGTCCTGAAATCCTATTCACACATCATATTTTCTTATATCTTTTTCTTTCTTTACACACCTGGCTCAAGATCTCATTTCCTCTTACCTGTAACAGCAAAACAGCCTTCCAGCTGATCTCCCTGACTCCTGACTGCTCTCCATTTGGTGCAGCCTCTACATCGTGACCATATTCACCTTCACACAAGACCATTTTGATTATGTCACTCCTCTGCTCCAAAACCTTCAGATGAAAACTTACACAGTCCACAGCTACATTCCTTTGATCAGTTCTCATTTACTTTTCCAGGCATATTTCTATTAACCTCCTATATATTTTCCAAATTCCATACAAACTGCCCATTCCCTCTAATCTCTCCCAAATTACTTCATTCTGCTTCCTTCACGTGGAATACCTTCTTCTCAACTCTACAAATTCCTGCCTATCCTTCAACTCCAAAATTAAATATAACTTATGCTACATATAAAAATAAGCACTTAGCTGTAGAATTAAAATTCCTCCACCCCTGGGTCCAGATTTTCATACCATCAGATCATGCAGGGTCTTTCTATGCCCATAGAAAGAAGCTTGGTATTTATTCTCTAGGATATAGGGAAAACAATGAAGAGTATTAAGCATTGAAATTATAAATCAGAGTTGCTTTTAACTCAGATGACGCTGTAGCAGTGGAGACTGAATTAGAAAGGAGCAAGATCCATTGGAAAGACCCATTAAGCAACTATTGCATCTGCCTGAGGGAAGACTGAAAGGGCTGTGTTAGGGGGAGGAAAATGATGAACAAAATTCTAAGTGTTTTGAATTTGAGATCCTGAGGATTAGGGTGAGGCAGGCAAAATACCTATGGTGCAAAATTAACTTCCCAAGTGCCCACTCAGCACTTAGGGCAGTGTGAATGCCTCCTTAAATTCTTCACCCTAGGTGCCTACCTTGCCTCACCTTGAGTTCTTATAGATTTTGTAGAGATATCGCCTTGGCACCTAAGGAGGTACACCACTCAGTTCTCCTTTCAAGAAAGAACTTGCCATTTAGCTGCAAAAATTGCAGTTAGCTGAGAGCCTCCAGTTGCAGAACATTCAGGATAGGATCTGTCTTAGCTTTTGAATCAGAGCCATACCCTTCCCAGGAACCCCTAGTCAGAGACTGGATAGGTTAGGGGTACTCAGCCTGTCAATTACTGTCCAAGGTGGGGCTACTTTAACAGGGAATCTTCCTTCTGAAGTTCACCATTGAGTTGGATGAGACTGAAGTCATATCTGAAGGCTTTCTCTGTCCAGTTCTGCTTCCTCCCCTTTTATCTTTATACCATCCCCCCAATAAACTACTTGCTCAATAATTCTCTCTCAGCATCTGTTCTCAGAGGACCTAAATGACACATATAATAAGCAACTGATCACATCAATCTGGACCTGGACCTAGAGATGAAGAGATAAACTTTAGTGATCTCATTTCCTCTTACCTATAATAAAAAAACAGCCTTCCAACTGATTTCCCTGACTCCTGACTGCTC